GCTTGAGCCCAGGAGTTTGAGACCGGTCTAAGCAATATAGCAGGACCTTGTCTCTACAAAAATGAAAAAATTAGCAGGGTGTGGTGTCATACACCTGTAGTCTCAGCTACTCATGAGGCTGAGCCCAGGTGGTCGAGACTGTGGTGAGCCATGATGGTGCCACTGTACCCCAGCCTGGGGGTCAGAGCGAGGCTCTGACTCAATAATAATGATAATGATAATAATAATAATAATCTTTTGCAATGTAGTGGATGAAATCTAAAGAAAAGCTGAGCTGCATAGTTTCTCTTAGGAACAGTAAAAAATAGAAGCAAAAAACTGGGCTAGAGGTGAAGAGTCCAGTATTCTATCTCTAGCTACCACATTTAGGGGTATTCTGACTGAATTACACATGTGCACTCTTTATACGCCTCATATGGAAAGAAGAACACACTAGATGGTCAGCTTCCATCTTGGTGGGCACACAAAAAAGAATGATAAGCTCTCGGACCTGACTCCAGATTTGTTACTGTTAGCGAATCAGTGAGTGACAAGAACAATTGTGAATCTTCCTTCTCCATTCACTGTGTGCCAGGCACTACGCTAAGCAATTTACATCTGGCAACTCAACTAACCCTCCCAACAGCTACGTGAGGGTTTCCAATCTTCAGAGGAGATGGTTGAGGAGGGGCTTATTTCTTGTCTAAGACCATTCTGCTAAGTAGGTGAAGGTGCCAAAATTGGAACAGTAAACTAATTCCATTGCATGGACTTCTAAACACTTTTTTTCATGTGTGATTTCAGGTACGATTTTAACTTTTTGGTTTTGAAATTCTCAGATAGCATAAAATGTATGAAGGCAGGCATCCCTGAGAACATTTCCTCCTGGCAGCTCTAGAGAAAGATGATTAAAATAATGACCATAGTCCTTAAGAATGCTATTCCATCAATCGGGTGATAATATTTGTCTTGGGGTCAAAAGATAGTGAGGTTTTTTTAGCTATAAATAGCAAATGGGATATTTGCAAATAAGTACATTAAGAAAAGTTGAAGAGCCGGGCTCGGTGGCTCAGCCTGTAATCCCAGCACTTTGGTAGGCCAAGGTGAGTGGATTGCCTGAGCCCACGGGTTCGAAACCCGCCTGGGCAATTTGGCGAGACCTCTTCTCTACAATAAATTAAAAAATTAGCCAGGCATGGTAGCCTGTAGTTCCAGCTACTTGGAAGGCTGAGGCAGAAGGATCGCCGGAGCCCAGCAGGTCGAGGCTGCGGTGGCCGGGAGCGGCCACTGCACTCCAGTCTTGATGACAGAGTGAGACTCCAACTCAAAAAAAAAAAAAAAAAAAAGAAAAGTTGAAGAGAGTAAAGCTTGTTTTGCTCAAATAGATCAAAGTTTTTGAAAATAGAGGAAAGTAGCTGTAATTCGTAAATTTTGAGATCTGGAGACCCTTGAATTTGTTCTGAAGGTGCCGAGCTAAACAAAATGTCATCACACAAACCCTGGTGATTTAAAACACAGACCAAGCTAGATGGTGCAATTTTTCTTGTAGATATTTCTGTTTCTCATGCTATCAAACTGCACTTTTTAAAAGAATGAAGAGTATCTTAGCATTAATTTATAAATGCGTAAGACATTTTCTTGGGGCAATGTGTTAGAAATGCTTTGCAATAAAAATTTATACAAGATCTTTCATCATACAAGGACTTTCTTTTTCTATAATTAGATAAGCAGAATAGGGATGCAATAAACACAACTAAAAGTACGCCTAGAAATTTGGGGGGCATTTTTTTTAGTTTTAGAAAACAAAGATGAAAGATCAGAAGAGGGGAAGCCCAGCTAGTCTCACGAATCTTGACCACATCCTAGATGCAAATCAGTACATCTTGATCAAATGTCTCGTGCTCAGATGGCTGGGGTGGAGCTGGAGGAAATGTACCCACGCGCTTCCTCAGTAACAGTCATGCACTCTGCTTTTCCACCAGGCAGCCAAGGGGATGTCTGGGCATACTGGAGGCCCAGCAGACCCCCCGATCCCAAGAGAAGTATCCCCAAGCACAGAGCCTAATGAGTATCTTGACCCACAAGTGAGTCAGGAAATGGATTGTATGAAGCAGTTCTTCCTCGAATTTTTGCTTTAGCTAAGTTGGTCACACAATCAAGAGCGTAAGTTACTATGGGATGTGTTTGTTTTAAAAGCAGAAGAGATTCCATCAGATTGTTAGAGGAAATGGAAGCTTTCACATGCCCATTTAAGTTGCTGGCAGCGAATAAAGAATTCACACTTATGGCATTCTGCCAATCATAGCCATGCTATTACTTATGGCCAGGACCAGACAGCCTACTTGTTTAGTCTTCTTTAATTTTTTTTTTTGAGTTGGGGTCTCACTCTGTTGCCAGGCTGGAGTGCAGTGGTATGATCACAGCTCATTACATCCTTGACCTCCTGGGCTCAGGCAGTCCTTCTACCTCAGCCTCCCAAGTAGCTGGAATTACAGCCGTGTGCCACCACGCCTGACTAATTTTTTTGTTTTTTGCTTTTTGTAGAAACGAGGTCTCACTATATTTCCTAGGCTAGTCTTGAACTCCTGGGCTCAAGCATTTCTCCTGCCTCAGCCTCCCAAAGTGCTGGGATTACAAGTGTGAGCCATCACGCTCGGCCCCAGTTATACCATTTCCTGATGTGCTTAAGCTGTCTGTCCTCAGGAAGCTTCCCTCTGCCTTGTTTCTTGTGGAGGGCTCTCCGGTTCCTGAGTTTGCTGCATCCCATTCTGTGGTGGGAGAAAAGGAAGATGGTATCTTGGGATTTTAGCCTCAAGTCAAGAAGTAACCTCCAGAAAGTCAAGAGTTCTATCTTCCCAGAGCAGCACACCCCAATAAACATGGGCCCATGTCTAGAGAAAGACATGCGATGAACTTTGCCTCCCTTAACTGTACATCAGGGACGTCAACACCCTTCATTGCACAGGAATATTCAGAAGCTCTGAAAACATTAATTCTGGCTTATGCATGAATCCTCAGTATTTTTGCACAATGTCTAGCTTGTAACAGATGCTCAGAAAAACATGTGTTTACCAATAAATGCCACTGATAGCTGATTAAATGTAGTATTGTGGTCATCTCAGAAAAAAGTTGGTCATCATACTCTTTTTCTTTTTTTGAGACATGGTTTTACTCTGTCACCCAGGTTGGAGTGTAGTGGCAGGATCATGGCTCACTGCAGACTCAACCTCCTGGGCTCAAGCGATCCTCCTGCCTCAGCCTCCCAAGTAGCCACCGGCACACAGTACCACGCCTGGCTAATTTTTCTATTTTTGTTTTTTTTTAAGAGATGGGGATCTTGATTTGTTGCCCAGGCTGGTCTTGAACTCTTGGGCTCAAGCAATCCTCCCTCTTCAACTTCCCAGCGTTCTGGGACAGGCATGAGCCCCCTCCAGCCTGGTCCTCATACTCCTGGACAGCTTCCTAGGAGAAGTTTGGTTAGACAGAAGAAACAGGTTCAACTTGATCAGGTCAACTCACATTCAAGTTTGAGAAGTACCTGTGTCGTAGAGGAATTGTGGTGGTTAGATGCTAGTTGTAGACATTCATAACTTGTGTTTCCTCCATTTTTTTATTCTCTCACTCTTCTTCATTTCCATGCTCCAATTCTACCCTTTGACTCTTCATGGACAAAACAGTGTCAGGGCAGGGAGGGCAGGGAAGTCATACAGAAAGCCGCAGATTGGGTTACGAAAGACAGCTTTTCATCCTTTTCTGTTATTTCCCCACCAGGGTGGCTCTTTTGAAGGCTGGGATGACTTCCGTCCATTATTTGCATGATCTTCCAATTTAGAGAGTTCACGGACAGAGTATGTCCTTACAAGGTATAACGTTCTGCTTGGCTCTCGTAAAGTTTCTGCTTAGGGAGTTTTCTTTCTTCCATGTGCAAATCACACGACCCGACCACCCCATCAAAGCGGATCAGAAACAAAATGGACCCATGGTTTCATTTAGCAGAGCGGGAACTCAGCAAAGCTTGTGGGCTCACCTGGCCAACGACGCCCTGTGAGCTCACAGATGCTGCAGGCTGCAGATGAGCTCGCCATGGCGTTCATCAGATGCGGCAAACGCACAGCCCTCTCCAACACCCCCTGGGGACACCGCCCTTCGGTGGCGACTGTATTTAGCGTTCTTCCTCGGGGTGACTTCACCTCCCAGAGAAACGGGTAGAAAACCGTGTCAAGCAGGCAAGGCCGCGAAAGAAAGGGAAACGAAGTATCCAGCAGGGGCTGCACTGTCAAGAAATACAGGCGAGACTCGTGTGGAGTACCTGCCTTTAGTCCTGATGGGAGAAGGACCTTCAGAGTCATCAGAGGCAGCGAGATCACCTTTCAGCGCCCAGGGGCGTCTGGGCCGCCCGGGCGGGGGCGGCGGGGCGGCCGCGGCCGGTGCCGTCCGGGGCTGCGTCGCACGTGGACTTGGCAACCTCGGTGCACGCGCGAGGCGGGGCTGGGTTCAGGAGGCAGAGGACCAGCGCTCACTTGCCCCCGACTCTGCGTCCACGGAGGCCGCGGGCGGTGGCCGCGGCTGGCCGGCGGGGGAAATCTGAGTCGCTGCCCCCCGCCCGGGATGATAACGACGTCCCTCGCTCACCCCGGGGGGCCGGCCAGACTCGCCGACGGCGGCCGCTTCCCGAGGGGCCGGGGGCGCGCCCGTCGGAAGGTGGGAGGCGGGGTCGCCCCGCGTCTGGGAAGAGACCAAAGGAATGAGTCATTGGAAACTCGGGAACGGAGACCCCCATCCCAAGCCTGTGGCTCTTTCACCCCGAGCCCCCTGCCGAGCGGCGAGGGGGCTGGAGACAGGGAGACGCGGTGGAGGGAGAGTCACGTTTCGGAGCGGGAAGTGGAATAAAGAGGGCGGCACCCGGGGGGACCCGTGCGTCACTGCGGGACCGAGGAGAAGCGCCGGGCGCACGGGGCCGCGAAAGGAGAAGTGAGAAGCCGGAGCGGGCGGCCGCGGAGCGCCCGAGCCTGCTCCTCCCCGGGCGGTGCCCCGGCCGCCGGCAGCCTCGCGTCCGCGCCCGGATCCGCCGCGCTCCGCACTCGGGCAGGCGGGGCGCACCCGCCGCGCGCAGAATGTGGCAGCCGACACGGCCCCGGCCCCGGCCCCGGCCCCGGCCCCGCGCGCCCTGGCGCTGGGCGCTGGCGCTGCTGGCCCTGGGCGGCGCGGGGCTGTGCCACGCCAGCCCGCAGTCCGGGTACCCCGCGCGGCCCAGCGCCAGGAGCAAGTAAGTGCCCAGGGCCCCCGCCGCAGGCCCCGCAGCTGCCCTGCCAAAGGTGGCGAGCGGCCCCCGGGGTCCCCCCGGGACCTCCCGCGGCGCCTCCGCCTCCGGGCGGCCGTGCGCGTCCCGGGCACAGCCGGCCCCGGCGCCGGGGGGCGCAGGCGGTGTCCTGCAGAGTACGGGGATCCGGAAGCGATCCCAGGAATTCCAGGGGCCCTTGGGACCGCGGGTGCTTTCCTTTCCCGGCTTGGGGCGGGCCAAGGCGCACGCTCTCCATCGGCGCGCCCGCTCACCTGCCCGCGTCCGCCTCTGGAGCCGCCGCCTCCGCCGGGGCGACGCGCTCCCGACCCGGTGCTCTCGGCCCGGCGCTCGACCCTCTCCCCCTCCTCATTGTTCTCTGGGTTTTCACTGCGCCCCCCTCCCTCTCGCCTTCACCCCAGGAACTGGTGCGCCTACATCGTGAACAAGAACGTGAGCTGCTCTGTGCTGGAGGGAAGCGAGAGTTTTGTGCAGGCTCAGTACAACTGTGCCTGGAGCCAGATGCCCTGCCCGTCCGCGCTGGTGTGAGTCTCGGGGCCCGGGAGCGGGCGGGGCGCGCCGGGCCCGGGCCGAGGGGGTGGGGGGGGGTTGCGGCG